ACAGGAAAGAGTTTCGACTTGCAGGAGATGATTTATAGAGCACTGTCCTGCTCTGATACCATGTTGCAATCAATAGAGCAGAGGGCGGCGAGGAGAGGAGGAGAAGAGAAGGGAGAAGAGAGAAGACTCAAACTCATACTGGCAGCACCAGTATTTTTATCATATATGCTAGGGCGAACGTACAACTTAAAAGAGGAAGAAAAAGACCAAAATGCCCCTTGCAGCATACACTAAATATTACATCATTCCTAATATTGTAAAGGCTCAGTTTGGGAAGAGTCAAATACAAATCTGTACAGTACAAAACCTTTTATACTGTATTTCTAAACTTTGTATTTGCACCATACATATTTGTATTTGTACTCACTGAGCAAAAAATTCCCAGCTACCAATCAGGAAAAAAACTACATACAAAGAAAACCAGCAATTGAACAAAAAAAAAAAAANCTCTGTAGTTTCCAGCCCAGGAACAACAAAAAACACAGGAAGAAAAAAAAAACCGTCCTCTTAGGGAGATTCAGTCAGTCATCCACTGGCCTCTGGGTGTCGTATGAATCAGTTGCAGTCCAAGAAAACAGGGGCAGGGCAAGAACGAACAGTCTTCAAATGGAGTTCGTGTGTGTCCCTTCCACTTCGCAATCCAGAGGAACAGGAAAGAGTTTCGACTTACAGGAGATGATTTACAGAGCACTGTCCCGCTTTGATACCATGTTCCAATAAATAGAGCAGAGGGTAAAGAGGAGAGGAGGAGAAGAGAGAAAGAGATTGAGAGAAGACTCAAACTCATACTTGCGGCACCAGTATTTTTATCATATATACTAGGGCGAAGGTAGAACTTAAAAGAGGAAGAAAAAGACCAAAATGCCCCTTGCGGCATACACTTAAATATTACATCAGAATCATGTGCAACTTGAAATACAAATAAACAGTAAAAAAAATAATATCTACATAAAGGTTCTGAGGGGCCATTTCCGCAAAATAAAAGTAATTCAATGTAACTGTTCACAACTAGCCAACCAATAGCAAATACCAAGTATTTATCCATATGAAAAATGAGGACCAAATATTTTACCTCAGCTCTATATCGTAAAGACTCCACCGCATTTTTAGTAAGTAAAGGAAATGGGGCAATGAAGCTTGGCGAGTCCTGATCAGTGTGGATTTGATTTCTTCAAAAACTTCCATCTCGTCTGGAGAAACCTTTTGGTTGTATAAGTAAATGGGTAATGAAAATAACAGTAAGCTGTAAAAAAAAATAAACAATGAAACTCAGAAGTAACAATGTAAACAAACGAAATAAGGAAGAGGATGAAAGAGGCTCCCCGTCACTTGTAAATGGCAAACCCTCCCCTTAATTTTGATAAATGCAGTCACCTCCCTACCACTTTCTTCCACCACATGTGCAAATAGATTCAAAAATATCCATGTAATTAATTTAGGAAGATTTCAGCAATTTATATTTTATTTTATTTATTTTTCTGTGTCATTCCCTACATCCCCTTTGTAGTTTTACACATTTACTATAATCTATCTTTTTTTTTGTTTCAATTGCCTACACTAATTGGGATGATCTTTCATATATACATTTAGTGCGCAACTTGTGGTACCGGGTCTAATAATCAATGCAACGGTATAATCATCCAAATTGGATGGATTTTTATCAAACCCAAGCTTTAAAATTGCACTAGGAATCATGGTTAGGTAACTATTCAAACGGTTCAACAGTAGGTTTGAAAACGTTGCCTACACAATGGGTAGCCCATCCCTCATACAGCCATACCTATCACCCCATCTCCACTTCAATGAATCAATGAGAGAATTTATCAATTAAGTCATCATTAGTTGGTAAATCTATTCTTTAATTTGTATGTTATTGCTTTACTTGGTGTTTGGTATTGAAGCATTTCATGAATTTGCCACACAGGGTCAATTTAATAACAATACAATATGTACAGTGCAAAACTTTGTATTTTGTATATTGTGATACCCCGCCAAGAGAATACAACTGCCTTAAAAGTTAAGTTTAGGTCAAAAAACTTATAGGAGTGACTATAAGGCTCAGTTTGGAAAGATTATAAGTACAAATATATTCAATATAAATACTTACAAAATAATACAAAATAGAAAGTTTTGCACTCTACATATTTGTATTTGTATTACAAACACAAATATATACAATACAAGTACTTATAAAATAATACAAAATGTAAAATTTTGCACTCTATATATTTGTATTTGTTATCCTTCCAAATTAAGCCTTACTTGCTCACATTCTCAAAACTGCCATCAAATCATTAGTTATCAGCCTCAAAACCCTAATCGAGGATATTCTTCTACCATACCCAAATTCCATCATTATTGAGAGAACTTCAGCTTCTTCCACCATCGGTATTCGGTGCCTATTTTATTCCATTGTTCTCCACAGAAGATCCCACAACCCCTAGTCCATTATCTTCCCAACTTCAAGAGTATAGACGATCTCAATTATAAACACTTCAGCTTCCCTCAGGGCAAACCTGTGCCCACACTGTTCTAACAGCTAGTCTTTCCCAACCTTAGATTGGGAATATCTCCCCATAAAATAAAGCACATAAGTAAGGAGATATTCTCAATGCAAGGCAGTAAAGGCTGCTTGAACGGGCTTTGCTATAACTGAAGCCAAACTCTAAATACCCTTCCTATCAGCATGCATCTCCACTACTTTTTTTCTTCTTTTTCTATTGTGTGTTTTTTGTAAAATAGGAGATAACGGAACACTTGTAAAATGCATTGGTGCCAAACACCAATATTTATTGGCCTTCTATCAAAGAACCATTTGTATTTCCATTGGGAATGGCCATTTGGCCTCTTAAAGCAAGTGTAAACAAAATCCTCCCACTGTCCAAATTATAATTTGGTTTGGTGGAGACATCGAATGCATGTGATATTTCAAAACCGGACTGGACCAAACGGTTGGACCGGAAAAACTGGGAACCAGTCAGGTGATCGGTTCCGTTTTACCCCAGAACCGTTATTTCCCCAAAACCGTTGATTTGGTCAGCAAACTGCTGACCCGGGGGTCAAACTGTTCGAACCATTCAATGGTTTGACCTTTTTTTTTTGTCAAAATGGGCCATCCGTTCAGTTAAAATGGTCAGGCCGTTTGACCTGGGAACCAAACCCCTGACCGATTTATTATTCGGGTCGATTTTAAAAACCTTGAATATGAGAAACGTTAGCGATATTTTCAAAAAAAAAAAAAAAAGACTCATGCCCTTTCACATTTTCCACTCAATTTAAGAGGTCATGTGCTCATGATAAAAAATACAATTCTACAAACAGTTCCTGATGGAAGGTTGATCAAATAAAGTGGTTCCAAAACTATAGGGGCGTTTAAATAACACAAACTAGAGGGTAGATTTCAGTTAATACTTGAAACTATAGGAGTGTCAAATAAATGACCCTTTTTATTAAAAAAACCAAAAATAATAAAAACCAGATGAGTAAAATATTAGCATTGAATTAATTAAACAAAAAACTTCAGCCAAAGAAGAACGAATACAAACAAATCAAGCCAGATTTGGCTACACTTTAGGCAGTGCACCTTAATAATGTTTAAACGTGCGAAAGAATGGAAGGCCAGTCAAAGCTTTCATTTACTCCTTATTCATCTATCAGCCTCCATTACTAAATCGGAGAACGCAAAATTTTGGAGGCGTTAGGTATTGTAGATGAAGCCATGAATGGCTCGTTTCAGTCCACTCTATATCGTAATTTATCATTCAATCTTAAATGCTGTAAATTAATCTACGCCACAATATATTCAAACATTCTTATAAAATTTTGCAATAAAATGTTTTTCTTGACAAGGAATCTACATTTATACAAAGTTTCGCAAGGTCGCAACTACAGTAGTAGGATCCAGTGCATCAGTCCACCACACCATGCAATTTCTTATCCACAGCACCAAACACCCTCTTTAATTAAAGAAGAAGCAGTCCAGTCCAGTGGTAATTAATTGGCTGAGTTCCATTACTATGACTATGAGGTCTCATGGTATTGGTTATGGGCCTTATGGCCTTCGATTCAAAACCCAATGTGAATGTTCTGTCAAGGTCTGCCCGATGAGTAAAATGTGCAAAACTAGTTCTGAGGAGACCGGAGACCCCATAGGGATATCCAGACCATGGGTCTAACTCTAACCTGATCAGAACTATTTATAATCGACAGCAATGCTTTTAACATGTAATAATATGTAATTTAATAACAAACCTATTTATTTGTTACATTGACACATAATAATTATGTATACAATTATATATAGTCACTTCAGAATAACCAAAACCGATCCGAGCCTGGATCTCTTCTTGCAAGCAAAAGGCCAAAAACTCTACTTACATATCATGAATATCTCTTGTACTTGCCAACTCAGTGGTGGCTCAGTTGGTACGTTCGAGTTATTAATGTGTTGTATTAAATACCAAAAAAAAAAATAATTCTCCTGTACTTTTATATTAAGTTCATGGAGATGTTTCCAATATGCAGTGGGATTCCATGCTTTCATGGTGTGTGCTAGAGTAGAGTTTTTGCTTGTAGGGATTTCCGTCGCTACTGACCCCAACCCAATTATAATTAGGGCACATAATACAGATCTAGATCCTATATAATTAGGCTGGATCGGTTAGGTTGGGGCCTGCCCAACCCATTGACAGCGCTAGCTCTCTGTTGTTCTATGATTCTATCCCTGCCCCCCCCCCCTCTCCTTTGTCCCCTGCTATTGCTATGCTTCCTATCTAGACTTCTAGTATTGCCGCTTCTGATTCCCTTGTCAAGAAAATTCGCGGTGTCTAGAAACTGAAATAGCCTTGATCATCATGCATTCCACTCTTTTGGTGGACCGTGGATGGGCATCCAATACAACAAGAAATCGTTTCTTCCAAACAAGCTACAAGGATTTGGGGTGGCCCATACTCCATATAACCAATAGCACCAAATAGGACCTAGTGTATGGAGAGAATATTGGCTGGGTACCATAGGCGTAGAGTGTATGCACCCAAATTTAAACAGTAATTCATTCAACGCATTGTCCAAAACAAAAACAAAACCAAACGTCAAGCCAAGGCTAGAAAGTTTTTTCACCTCAGCCACACCAAAATATTCAGATTGCACAAGACATTTGAGCCAGAGCCAGAGCCAGATCTCCAACGGAAAATATGCCAGAGAACATGAAAAGATTGGTGCATATTTTTCATTGACTCTTTCCTTGTTGTGGATGGCCTGGGACTGCCTATAAGTTCAAATTGTCTCACATGCACGCCACAACTAGTTATTTCCAGCCCCGTTTGTCTTCAGAATGTTTTTCAGTGTCTCATTTGCAGCAACTAATTCTGCAGCTATTCCTGGTTCATTTGCCGAGTGTCCAGCATCTGGGACAATCTGTTACAAAGGAGGTAGAATCTATTATTTCAGCTATATCTAAAAGAAAAAAAAAAGAAGCAAAATCATCCACAAATTTACATGCTAGGAGCAATTGAGTAAGCTTAGTATCGTAACAAGCTGTACGAAGGATTTTTCAAGACTTAAGGGGCCTGATTTACAGAAGCTACCATCAAGTCATTTTTTCCCCGGTGATACAAGGCATAGCTAAGTTTCTGATAACTTGGCTCATCCTTTCTTGACAATGGAAACAAGGCACAATGTTACATCAACCAAACTGTATTGATCAACTGATCAATATTTTTTGAAAGCAAATCAACTGATCGTTGAACTATAAGTTTCCATGCCACTCTAGGGAGTGCTGATTCAGTTGCCCAAGCCAAAGATGCTGCCCATGCTTAGTCCAAGTAATACAGAGATTCTGTGGGTCTGAGTTACTTCTAACTAAATAATATAAATATAAGAAATTGCATGCCACTCTTGGGAGTGCTGATTATTTTGATACAAGAACGTTTCTTCATGACTATTTTCATATACCTAGTACAAAGTTGTGAGGTGAAGCACATTGTATTTGGAGCTTCAATGACATACCACCGAGTTTAGACAAAAGGATCTTAGTCAAACTGGAATAAGATGTGCTTCTGGTTGAGCTTAGCAGCAAAACATTCCCAATCTAATACAAATGCAACTATAAGAATCATATTACATGAACTACAAACTCTGAAGGGTTTCTAGAAAGTCTAGTCTGGCGGTATATGGTTGCCATCTACAGCTTCAGATATTTAATATTTTAATATCATTCGCCCACAACACTGAGCAGACTAACCCATTTCGAGGGTCAGTTTTTAGAGAATATAATCACTAATCCCATTGATAGACAAGACTGCATTTAAGTGCTGTCCTAAAACACTGTTGGTAATCGACCACCAGTAGGTTAGAAACTTGTAAAAAAATCCATAAAACTCAAACAGCAGTCTGATTGGATGAACACCATGTGCACATTGTACATTGTACTGTAGTATTAGGATGGCTGAAAACTGTCTTTGGCATGCTAACCATGAAAAATTGTTGATTTAATGCACTATGTGAATGCTGGATGGCTGCCCTACTATTCTACCAAAGATTCATTCATAATGCAAACTAAAAGCACATCTAAGTATGCTATTGAGACCATGACATTCTATAACCACTGATATCAGAAGCAAACATGCTGATATGTGCACTCAGAATTCACAGTGTAGGAAAAATCTCGGGCTCACAAGCATGAGAATGCAGGTTTGAATCTGAGAGTAGCCACTTTGTGCAAACAAATGCCAAGGGTTGCGACTGTACCCAGTCTACCCCTCCCAAAAGCATAGATATCTGGGATCAACATCGGGTAAACCAACATCACCATTTACAAAAACAAATTCAAAATGAAACCAGAAGCAAAAGCATGCCCTATGCCCCAGT